CGCTTCGTCCTCTTCCAGTTGCCAAGGAAGCTTGGCGCTCAGTGTCGATGGACTTTATCTTCGGCTTACCGCCCGATTCGACCGGACGCACGGGTGTACTGGTCTTTGTCGACGCTTCAGCAAGGTGTTCCCGTTGCAGATTCGATCACCGCGGAAGAGTCCGCGGCGCACTTCGTCGACGTGGTATTCCAACACCACGGTCGATCGTCTCCGATCGCGACCCACGCTTCATATCAGCATTTTGGTCAAGTCTCTTCAATTTGCTTGGCACAAAATTACTGATGTCAACAGCGGCGCATCCGGAGACGGATGGATATGTCAGGTGAGCGTCAACGAACTTTAGCCAGAGTTTAAAGATACCCGCGTTGCTGAAACCCTTCAGCGCGCCAGTCACAGACTGTAACGGGGCTAGAGTTACCGTTACTAGCTTACACTGTAGTGTAGAAGAAGCTCGCAATAGTTAGACCGAGTCTTAGGTTTGCGTCAAATTCAACTCTGATTTATTTTGGACCAGGACGGCTATCCCTGACCTCACGTAAACCACTCAAATGCAGATCAACACCTGATTGGTCAATAAGTGGTTCTAGCAACCCACTATCAACCAATCAGATGATGACACCTTGACACACGCTAGCCGTGTGTCATTATGTAATTGGAATTGGGCCCATTACATCACCCTTCTCCCTAAGTTGCGCTTACGCAACGTAAGCGCAAAGAACACAACCGAAGAAACCCAAAGTCCAACGAAGGGAAGATGACCGAGAACATCGCAGAGAGGACGTCGGTCGGCAGGAATAGCGCCGCGCTGGTGACAACAACGGATGCAGCCTTACGGACAACGACGACAACGTAGACGAAGGAGGCACCGGTGGAGAGAGCGGTGGCGATAATCAGCGCAGGAAGCACACTGTCACACGTGATGGACGACGCCATTTCGCCTTGGGAATTGTACGACTTGTCGGGCGCGGTGAATCCGGACACGCTGAGCACTATGATAGATCATTTCCGGCGCTTCCGCGCCACGCGGAAAAAGAACATCGAGGTCGCTGACCAGCAAGGGCTACGATGTTCTTGGTGTGCCTTCATCCGACGCTGGAATCAGATTCTCGACAGTGTTCAGTCGTACTGGTGCTTGGCAGTAGCTCGACACACGCCGGAATTGGTAAGCTCTTTTCGGGTTGCTCAAATACTAAAATAATATTTTGTACCCATTTTTTTTAACGGGTATTTTACTGCAAGCGAGGTATCAGCATGTTCGGGCAAAGGGATTTGTGGTGGAGTGGGGTTCACAAAATCACGTTGCGATCCACTCGGACACACAGTGCCGTGGACTGCCGACTGACGGAGGGGGTACTCCGATAACCGTGGGGTTGCTGAGGGCTCACCTTGTGTACCCGTCGGCG